TCTTCTGAAAGAATCCTAGTCACCCATTGTGCTGTGCGTGTGACAATGGATACTGTAGCACTAGGACATCATTATCCAGTCCATAATGTTATATATAGCAATGACCCGTGCATTTGATACCTCAGCCCGACTTGTCAAGCTCTATTAGAGATACGTGATGTCTAAGACTGTCAGTGCTCAATGCAAATGAACAGTTAACATTACCTTTGTGGTTCACTACYTTCACTTGTGTKTGATTTATCCTCCTTTCTCTCCTCGCACACTGCATATGGTATATCTTCTGAATCATCCTCCTCAATCACCTCATACTCATATGGAATATCTTCTATTTTGACTTGGATATTGTTAATGTCACTAACACCAGTTTTAACTCCAGTGAGCCTTTTGTTGGTGTTTGCTTTCACTCCAACACGTCCTGTGTATTTACATTTCTTGGGGGGGGCGAGGTAGATCTTTCATTCTTGGATTAATCGTACGTTCTTCTTTGTGTTTGGTGTTTTCTATCTCCAGGCCGTCTTCTTTGATGATGTGCTCTCTTAATTTTGTAAGGGCATCTGTTAGCTGCTCTTGGAGCATGTCAAGTGCAGTTTCATCATTTACAAGGTAGGTGGAGGATCTAATTTGTGCCAGGAGATCTCGGCATTTTGCAGCTTTGCTTCTGTAGTGGTGCTGGCGAGATGGAATTGCAGATATAGGAGCAGTTGTTGGTGTATCAGGTATATCAGGTATATCAGTATCATCATCATCATCAGGTTCCTCTGTTTCATTTGACTCAACTGGACTTGTAACAGTAGGCTGGTAGACATTCTTATCAAGGTTGTTTATGAGTGACTCATCAAGGCTGAAGTATGGCATGCTCAAGTACAAGGCAGATAGATTTTCCCATTTCCAGTTTTTGAAATGAAGAAATACTGCCATGAAATGTTTGCACGGTAAGTACCACTTCCTCCAGTCCCTGCACTCACACTTGGGCATGGCGTCTCTCCCTCCAAAGCTGACATCATACCACACCTTCTCCTGACTTTGACTCTTGACTGAGAACAGTCCACATTTTGCATCTATGCATTTGATGTGATGGCTTGGGATATCATGTGCTGTCTGCTCCCTTTCAAGGCAATGACATACAAGGGAACGGGGTTTGTTTTTGAGGTAATTTGGTATTTCTCCATGGTACTTACGGTACCCCTCTGTAAACTTGATGTTATATTCAATGTATCTAGAAGATAAAGCAAATATTAATACAATATCAATACAATAGTACATAATACAGTGAATAATATTATATTAACAATGGATTACAGTTGAGATACATGTATAATGTACTTCTATGGTACTGTACTCTGCAAATACTCATCTTGTTTTCTGATCTATCCCCCTTCCTACTCAAAAATATTATAACATTGAATAATAGTACTTTTTGAAAAATGAATACTGTATAGGCCGATTTACACGGCACAATTAGTCGTGTGCGACTTATAGTATACGACAAGTCATAAGTTCTAAAACTAGTGGTAGGGCATTCTAAAACATGTTTTAGTGCGCATGSGACTAGTTTTAGAACGTACGCCTTTGTRGTATACTACAAATCGCACACGACAATCGTGCCGTGTAAATCGGCCTTAACACTACACAATTGCTTAGTTTTATACAGACAAATGCATATTATTATATAGAAATGACCCTGTGCACTGATTCATTCAAGCATATATACAGCATCTTATTTTTATGATATACTTCATGTTACCTTTGATAATTATCAGGCAAAAATTCTTCTACCAATACTGTTAGCATTCCTGTTAGGCTATTGTTTTTATATTTCAATAGATAGCTGTGCTTGAAAACTTGGTTTTGGCGTTCCAAGCCATTATTAGTATTAACACCAACAGTAAAGGCCTCTTCCCTGAATGCCCACGCCCATCCCTGGAATAAAAAATTAGCTTAAAAAATATATTTTTTTAAATTGCACATTATATGGCATATATTGACATACAAATTAAAGATATGACTGCATAACTTAAGAAGGAATATAAGGCTAGCTTAAATTGGATTGAGTATAATTTTCAATAAGATAGTAGTTGTCTCCCATATATTGAAGTACAGGGATAATCATRGTATCTTTTAGGGGTAAAAATCATGGATCTGGTATCTTTTAGGGTGCCATTCAGCATAACTACATATATTTATTTCTAAAACAGTTTGACTATGGCTTCCAATTTTAGTACTACACATTATAGATAATACTCACATGTTTTGCACTTAACCATGTTTTTTCGAACCAGTTTCTGAGCTTTTGGTTGGTTGTCCAAACATTGCTTGCTTWAAGGTCCTCTATAGCACTATCAACCTCTTTTTTGGACTTGGCCTGCGCCACTTTACGAAGTCGAGCAAGGACTTCGCCTTTTACTTGTGTCACTCCGTTTTCTCTTTTAGATGTCCACCTCTCCCAGGCTTGTTCCCGGTGGAAATCACACAGGTAAACAGTTGTCTCTTAAATGCATAGTATATATTACATGAATATATAAGTCTCAAAGTACAGTATAGATCAAAACAAAAAATCTGCTCCCTAATATTAGATATATATTATAAATATATCTTTTCTATTTTCTCATGTGMGGCGGTAAAACAAAGAATATATAAATTATAATATATATGTCCAGTTTATATTGGTGAGCAGATTTTTTGTGTTTCGGTGTATGTGAGCATTTCTTACGGAGATGTAATAGTATTTCATTATTTACCTGTTGGAAATACTTCTTCTATTGCAGTGATCTCTTCTTCACTGTAGTCCGTCATAAAGAATTTAGGTGTCCATTGTTTATTCCATTTTTTTAGCATCTCTATGGCCTCCTTGATAGAATCYGTGCTTTCCGATTGTATGATGAATGATGCCACCACCTGGTAGTCTACATTTGTCTTCACTGCAAGGAAGAACAAAGGTAGAGAGTACCGTGTAGTGCGGTAGGTGGCATCAAGCAGGCAGATGTTATTGCCATATCTATCAAGCAGGCGCTMCTGCCATGGAGTCTGGTGGACAAATAGAAGCTCTTTGCTATTACTGTTGTTGATTTTTATGTCTTCATCATCAACTCCATCACCATCCCCATCATCTTTACATTCATCAACTTCTTTTGCCTCCTCTCCATATGAGRGAAAGAAAAAGCTGTCATTTGGTGCCTGTTTTTTCCAAACTGCTATCTTTTCTATAAGATTAGTCTGATCACATTTTGAAAATCTTTTTTGTACCACAGCCCTGTAAATATGGTTRCTGACATCTTTTTTAGTAGGGAAGTACCGCCGATTCAAAGAGGAGGGAAGCTCTTGGCCACAAAACAGGTCTTTAGCTAAGAACTCCCTTAGGTGTCTTCGCATTTCATTCACTGTTGACACACCCTTCCCCACCAGCTCATGTATTTTCTTGACTAGTCTCATGTCAGTGGTCTGTTGTACTCCACRTGCCTGAAGTATTGCAATGACAAAGAAATTAACATCTACATGACTTGTACAATCATCTGGRGTTATGTGCTGCTTTATTAARTAATTTCTTTGTTGGGATCACCTACCTTTCCATAAAAATGATTTTTGTGACTGTTCTCAGCAGGGAACTGGATCACAATTTGTCTTACTCCAGGTATTGCTTCACCTGCTGCTATGTCAGCCTTCAATTTTTTCGATGCAGTCTTGCATTTCCACTGACTTATCTGTGAAATCTACATTTAACAAAAAGAAGGCATTTAATATAAGTTTTGCAAATGCTTATAGAAAAATC